TTTGCGCGCCTCTTAAGTGCATACCAAAAGCAAAGGATGTAATATGCATATATTGTACATAGTTATACATATGTATGTGTTGTTACCAGAAATACGACTACAATAACACTGCAATAAAGGAAGAAATAACAATTATCGTTACAATGCAGTCGAAAGCAATAACGAATTGCGATAATGGAATAATAGATGAAAGGAAACTATGCAAAAATGTATTCACTGGCGATTAGCAAAAGCAAAGTATACGATTGTGAGGTAGGATAGAAACAAAGTAAGGTAGCAACGTTGGTTGGCTGATGCTTTTAGTTGAAAAAGCTATTGACTTTATAATAGTAGAGTTCACATACTAATTTCCATACTTATAAGTATGAGAACCAAAAAATGGATTAAGAAACGTTTATTTGAATAAAACAAGGTATAAGAAGTCGTTAAAAAAATTAGTCAGAATGGCAAACAAATTTTGCAGAAAAAACAATACTTTTATAATATACAATTTTTATTCAAATTTAACATTTTAATTTCAATCGCTTTAAAATTTTGCTAGTATAATTTCATAAAATTTAGGAACACACTCACATCTTAGGATATTATTTAAATTAACTTATTTATAATAAATCATTATTATTCGAGTTAGACGCGATCTCTCTCATCCGTTGCTTCAGTGATTCCGGCCTTCACCATATAAGAAATTCAGAAACATAAAATAAACAAGTAAAGAAGGGCAAAGTTCGGGGTAGATCAAGTTCACCCAATTATCTATTTTAAGCACACAGGTACACTGTTATGAGTTGAACACGTTCTGTAATTTTCATTGTCATAACTTTGGCCGATGGGCTGATATATGCAGTAAAAAGTCACCCGCAAGTTCAAAAACCTTTCTATTAGGTAAGGTCAGGGAAGTATTGACCTGCCTGAACTTTTTTGGTACACTTTGTTACTATGGAAGGAATACTAGGAAAGAATTTTTGCCCACTGATACCCCTTGCTACTGCGACGGTACCAAACCAAATTACAGCTTTATACCTTAATTTAGGTGCTTAGTTATGACACTTTGTACGTTTTCGGTTAATGGCGATTTGTTGCCGTGACAATGATCCGATTACGTCCATCTACGAACTACTAAGGAATCCGCGTTTCATCAATTTTTACTCAAGTTACAGCTTGCATGGACGGACGGGCAAACAGGCAGCCACCCGGATTTTCTCGTCATCCAGATCATTTATATATGCATAACCCTATTTCTATATCGCTTAATTTTTTAGTTTGCAAGAGGATAAAAAACATATAACGCACATTTAAAGCATTACAAACTAAAAAGTGAAAACTGACCGAAATTTGTTATTGTGAGAAAAGTTCGGTATACTTTTGCCAACCCTTGAATCTAATTGCCGGCTTGGAACTTTGCAAGTTGAAAAAGTATAAAATGTTCGGTTGCACACGAACTTCGCTCTTCCTTACCTCTTAATTATAAGCTTGCGATTCACATCTCTTCAATCCGATATTTTAGATCAAAATTTTTATTAATTTTTTTTTACTTTAATCCTATTTTTGAGATTGCAAACTTTGTTTTAAATTTTTTAATCCAGTAACTGCGATTAAAAATTTCAAAATTATTCCTGGTAAGAGTTTACTGATATATAGAGCTCCTCAAACAAACTACTGCTCATATTTAAAATATTGGAAATCTTCTGAAAAAATTCACAAACACTTCAATCCACACTACAAAAGAACGTGCCTCTTTTTGTCTGCTTTCTAATACACACCACATACAAACATATAAAGCATTGCAGCACATCACGTAAAAGAAAGTGAAATCAGCAGCAAAGCTAAAGTAAGGCAATAGCAAGCAGAAAGCAGCAACAACAAAGCAAAATAAAAGTCCAAAACATAACTGCTCACATACGCTGTGATCTTAATAAGTAGAAAAGCAATACATAAATGCATACTTACAAAAATACACGTACATATAAATGTATATTCAAACAAACACCTAAGTGTTTGGTGTAGCAATTCATTGCGCTACCGCTGTCCACAACAAAATACTTTGTTGAAGCGAGAAGTATGGGAACAAGCACGCCTTAGTGACACACAGCTACACGACTTTCTCATAAAGATGTGAGTATAACAATAACAATAACACTATAACAGCGGCAATAACAACCATGCAACACATTGGTAATAAATACGAGTTATACATTATATTACCATATTTTCATACCAACTGCCAATTTGCACGAACAGCGTCGTCATCGTGAACATCGCCGCCGAAATTTTGGTGAGCACGTGGAAAGGCTGGATAGAGAGCTTCAAACTGTTACGGCAAGTGTGGTGCTACACAGCGTATGAGTAACATGCAGGCAAGCATATTGAATGGCGATTTGTATATGGTGATTTTGGCTGCTTGCCTGGCCATTAGCGCACACACAGACACACACATACAAACGCACATAGCAATGTATAAATGTTCGTTGCTTGTGTTTTACTCATAATATGCTTACCAAACTATGGCGCTTGCCAAAGAGCCTGCTAAGGAGCTGCTCGCTCCCATTGAGCGCTTAGCGTGGCTAACAACTAGTCGGCCAATCAGTCAACTTTTACGCTACTAAGCCACTTTCTTTTAAAATTCCTCCCCCCACATGTAGCTAAGTAGCCCGTAGTATGTTGGCTTGCCACGCTTGAAAATATATTAAATCGCAATTGTGAYGGCAGTCGTCGCGCGGCAGCTCAAGCGTAACGCCGCCATATTTATTTGTACGCAATGATGAAAAATACTTTCCATTAACTCAGACATAGAGAAAGTTAGTCGTGTCAAGTATTACGAAAGTGTTCGTGCATATGTGGATTGAAAATCGTAGTTTTATAATAAAAAATATTTCTAAAACTTAAGCAATAGCTGTGTACATTTATATTTCCATTAAAGTGCGTTACAACTTTTTTTCTTGCAAAACAAATTTTATATTTTTTGAGACAAATGTGTGTGAAAATTTTTAAGTTACTTGAAAAAAAAAATTGTGGAAAAACTGAAAATTTTTTATTAAAAACATTATAAAAGTAATTTAAAAAAAATAATTTTGTGGCAAAACGTTTAGTTTTTCTGCATACTTTCAATAAAACTTCAGTACAAATAATATTTCAAATAAATTCGTAGCAAACTTTTATGCGCTCTTAAGCATGGCGTAGTGGCCTACAGTCAATTACAGACATTAATACACATACTCACACATACACTCGTAGAAAAGTGAGTTTATTTGCTGCCACTCGTTTATTTAGTTGCCCGTCAACGATCACTCACACGCCCCGTTGACCGTTTGCACTGCGCGGTCAGTAGTTCACTGCAGGCGCGTGCCTTGTTTTCTCTTATTTTACATATTCCACACAGCAACTGATGTTGTTGTATAAGTTTACTATTGTTTTTGCTGTACTATTTTTGTTTTTGCTTTATCTTTTCGCTATGTGCATGTGCGTCTAGTACTTATGTCTTTGCCTGCACGTTCAAAGTGAATTTAACTCATTTAAAGTGCAATTAAATTAAACCGCTTTCAATTACCTCACTTTAAATGACCGACCGTAGGTGAGGGAGTGGCAGGGAGCGCGTTGCTCTACATTTTTTCACACTGTCCAGTTTTAATTTAACAAAAAATCAGTAAAATAATAATATTACTCGTAATACTCTGGCTACATGTTGCTACAGAGTATAGTAGATTTTATCACCTAACGGTTGTACGCTTGTACATATCACCTGACTGTCTCTCTGTAAATCCGTCAGTTGCCCTTTCAAGCTGTGACTTAAGTTAAACTAGAGATTTCGCTACGGAATCTAGAGATTTCGTTATGGATCTTGATATATATCTTCCTTGGCAATAAAATCAGGACGGGTTCGTAGATGAGCGTAATCCGACCGCTGTCAGGCCAATAGTATATTTACTTTGCGAACTAATTTCTATATATCTTCACCTGAAAATAAAAGGTGAAGAAGTGTGAAATATAGATTGCTAAAGCACTCAGCTTGGAAACAAAGGAAACCAACTAGGTTAATTTTTGCCAAAATTAGAATCATTTCCCCGAAAAGTTAATAAGAGAAGTTGATAATATAAAACAGTGAAAACTTTAGGAGGCCAAAAACTAGCACTAAAAATTTGTTTTGTTGTGGTTCTAAAAAGATACTGTACAACTAATGGCCACAGGTTTGGAATATACTACCTAATCAAAATTGGCATATTTTGTTAAAAACTTGTTTAGAAAAACTGCATTGTTCAATCGTTTTTACTAAAGTATACAAACTTCTTTTATTAGTTCCAAAATGTTTAAATCTGCATCTCTGTTCATGTCGCAAAGTCAAAATTCCGAAATACATGCGCAATATTATTATTTTAAACATGTTTAGCGGTTTAAACTTGTTTTAAGTCAGGTTGCTTAACAGCAAATTTTCGAATATATTGATTTAATTTTTCAGTAGATAGAAATGTCGATAAGAGATTAGGGCAACTTAAATTAAAGAAGAAAAACAATATTTAATCTCCATTAATCCTTTAATGATGCAAATTTTGTACTTGCCGCAAGCTTGCAAAGTACTTTTTTGCTACTACACACTTGAATACACATACATCCATACCTATACATATACACACTTATATACATAGAGTAATATAGCACCATTTCACAACAATACCAACTCATTCATTCTCCGGCCTTTTTTGCCTTTCGGGCAACTTAAATTCAATTAAAATAATTTCATTTTATTTAATTTGTTTCAATTTTGTTGTATGCATTTAAACAGAAAACGCTGCGGGACACTAATTTCGCATAAAATGCAAACAAACGAGAGTGTGTATAAAGCAGTGAACTCGCAACAGTATGCAATGTATGTAAACAAATGCAAGTCCATGTGTGTATAAAAAACTCGATGAAAAACCGTTAAAAAGAGACGGATAAAATAATATTAAAAAACAATTATACTGATATACATATATTTGTGAAGAAATTAATTAAACTCGGCAGCTTAAATGTACGAGGATAGCGACGAAAGTTCGCCATTTGTGATGCTCTCATCGCCCACCAAGTCTTGGGTTAGTAATGTGATACAAGACTAGTATATACATACAGATTGTTATAATAATGTATGTAATATTTATATATGTATATGTATATACAAAAAAATAAATTAATGTAAAAAAATATTAAGGCCTTTTATAACTCAGATTGATATTTATTCCATCACTTTGATAAATAGTGGTTCCACTACATTTTATAGATATTTGTAATACTATTTTTGTATACTACAACTAATTTACATTACTACTTCTTCTTCTTCTTTATTGGCGAAGATACCGCTTATGTACTTATAGCCGAGATTACAACAGCGCAACAGTCGTTTTCGCTGGATCTTTCTCTCGAAATCTCCTAACGCCGACTCATCGGATATTGTCATCGTCCATGCCTCTGCATCATATACCAGTACGGGGATGATAAGTGGCTTTGTTCGCCAGAAGTTGTACACTCTTGTAGAAGATTGTTCCTTCTCGATTAAGTTCTGCAGCTCGAGTTATTTGTCTATTATTGTATTAAAGAAATCGCACGATACGGAGTTTCCCTGTTCTTCCCGATCCTAAGGAAGCTTTTGGTATTGCTAAACATCAGCTTACACAGCTACACAGTTTTGAGGGGATACCAAATTGAGACATATCGGCAACTCCTTTCCGCGCTGTCAAAAGCAGCTTTGAAAACGGTGAGGCGGTGGTGTGTGTCAATCCTCTTTTTACGGGTCTTTTCCCAGATTTGGCGCGTGGTGAATATCTGGTCAGTTGTTGATTTGCCAGGCCTAAAGCAACACTGATAAAGTCCAATCAGTTTGTTGATAGTATGCTTTAATCTTTCACACAGTACGCTCTATAGAACCTTAAATGTGATGTTGAGGAGGCTCATCCCACGGGTGTTGGCACACTTAAATTACAATCGTCGGCATTGCTTTCGTCCGATCACATTCTACAAAGAAGTAAGGTAGTAACGTCTGCTCCATCGTCATCGAACCGGGAACCGGGCTTACCATCTCCAGGTATTATGCTTTCACTGCCATTCAGCAGACTGGAAAAGTGTTCCTTCTATAATTCCATTATGCTCTGGGAAGCAGTAACTAGATCACTTCGAGAGGTTTTACAAAAGCATGCTCCCGTCTTTCAACCTTCTGTTATCATTGCCAGCTGTCGTTTTTTTCTTTTTCGAAAACATATGGTTTCGGTTGTAGCTGTAGGTATGAAGCTTGAAATACCATTGAAATACCGTTTCACAGCTCCCCTATACCATTTGATGAGTGCTTTCAAAGAGCAGGAAAGCAAGTCGAGAAGAAAATTGTTGGGCTGTCTAACATTGCAACTTCTCGACGACGAAACCTCCTTGTGTTTGTTAACGTGCGTTTTTTACTGAACAGAGACGGGTGTGTATCTTGGCTGCAACAAGATAATGGTCAGAGTCATTGTTAGGGCCTCGAAGCGCACGCACATCTAAAACACTGGAGACGTGTCTTCCACCTATCACAAAATGATAGGCTCTTCTCAATTAAAGGACCGGATGTTCCAAATGCATGCCCTTAAATCGTAATCCTTAATACGTTTACGGTATTCAAAAGGGTTGTCTCTCATTCGAGGCTGTTTATTTTTTTCATTAGGGGTATTTGTTTACGTGGCCGGCTACAAATACAGTAACCTTGGGGAGAGATGGCTCACCTTCGCACTTTAGCTCGTTTGGCTACCCAGACAATACTTGGTTTAAGACCGGAAGTCGTGAACTACTAAAGCGATATGAGAAGCGTTTCTGACCACTCCTAAGTAAATGGCGCTCAGGGAACTTCCTCACTTGCGTGGACTTTTATCTATCTATGCTATCCTCCTTAATTGATATTAGATTTGTTAAAACTATGCTTAATAAACCACTAAATATTGTATTTATGTTTAATTAACAATGTAACAAGTAACAACCATATTACAGTTAGCTTTATCTGTTTGTTCACTTCTTTTTTCTTTGTACTAAAGAATTCAATTACCCTGCGACGTATACTTATCTTTGAATTTTTTCTGTATTTCATTGTTGTGTTGTAATTAAATTTACATTTTTTCTTCTGAGTGCCATTTTACAGCAAACTTTTTAAAAATTCCGCTTCCCTACAGATTAGTAGAAACGTTTATATAATTCCATTGTCTATCTTTACCGCCGCTACTAATACAACTCTGTTTTTACGCTACTTCCTTTCAATAACACTTTTATTTTACATTGCTATTTTTTGTTCGCTTTGCTAATTTCGAGACTGTCTGCCGCAGATTGTTTGGTTTGCATTTAATTTGTGTTCAGCAAATATAGAGACAGCAAGTCGGCGTGCCGTCCAAGTAGTTTCCGCAGCAGCCGCAATAATTTTCTCTATTTATTGCACACAACTTTGCATTAATTTTGTTTTGCTTTTAAGTAATTTTCTCCATTTAGAATGTATTTATTTGGCAGCGTATTTTCTTTGTTTTCAGACTGTTAGTTAACACTTTGGTTGCTTGCCACCGCAACTTTTAATTTATTTTTTTCGAGGTTCCTTTCAATTTATATTTTCTCGTACTCGCTTGCCATTTTGTGCTTGTATTTGTTTTGCTTTAGGTAAACCGCCTAGTTGGCACGTTGTAGAGTACAACGCCGTCAAATTTTATGCTGAGGTATGCTCTGTATAGCTTTTAGTTTGGAAGCTGTTGAGACTTTTGTGTTGTCTTCCCTGTTATTTATTTGCAAGTCAGTTGGAAATATTAATTAAGTTTCGAATGAAAACTTAGAAGTTCCACATATTTACTACATTTCAAATTAGTATTAAGAATACTTCAACTTTTGGTCCACTTTCATCCCGCTCACACTTTTAATAACAGTCAATAGTACCTAAAATAGATACCTTTTAATATAAGGCAACTCAAAAATAAACTTAAACTCAACTCAAACTATACTTCTATTAGAAAAAATGTACAAACTTGCATAACGATAGACTGGAGTAAACTTTATAATGGCATTAAAGTACTTCACACTAATTTCAGTTTCAAATATTGTACAAAAAAATCATAAAATTTATCGTGGTATCCTAATTATGTCTATTTTAAACAACACTTTTGTATGTACCTGATAATTCAATTAATATCTGGTATTACTGAGTTATGCTAATCATTGAACTTGTTTTTATTGCGCCATTAAACATTCCAGGAATAACTTTAGAAAAATATGTCGAGTTCAAAATTCTTAACCGCATAATAATTTTTTTTGTTCCTTCTCCTTGCCATTTCAGACAGCTTTTAACTTTTAGTCAATTAACATCTGAATATTCACAGCTGTTTGGCCAAGTAGTATCGCTCAATTATTCGCGTAAAGTTGTTTCGTTGTAGTCCTACGCACCTGATTATTCAACCAAGATATATTATTGCTACAAAAAAATCTATTCAAGCACATAAATGACGAAGAGCAGCAATAACAACTTAACTTCATGTAATAATTCTCCAACTATTTTGTAATGAACTAGAATCTAAGTAGTTACATTCACATCAGTTCTAAAAGTAGTTGTTCTGTAGTTAGAAAAAAATTTTGTACCGACATATTTTAAGAATTTCTAAGAGCAAGCGCTTAGCTCATAGAAAATAATACATCCAATACATGTTAGATACGAAGAACATATATACTTGCTCAAGCTTTTCTTAATTAAATTAATCGCTGAATGTAACTAAATATCATTTTTTTCGTTCAACATATTTATATTAACCCATATCTTATATATTGTATGCAAGTACGCAAAATGACAGAACCCTCTGTAAACATAAATGCTTAATGCAAATAAAAGTTAACAACTTTACTGCTCACCTCAGATAATAATTTGCTTTTCAGCAAGAAATGTGACTTAACAGCAAAAAGTTTACTTCTGCGTTAAACAAAAGATACAGCAAACTTCGCAACAGCCGTTAATTTCGTTAAAAATTACGCAGCGTAGTTGGTGAATATAATCAAAGATGGCGCAGAAAGAGAAAATAAATGTAAATAATATTAAAGAATATATGTTTTATTTACAACTGTGAGTGTGAGTAATAATAATTACAGTGAGGAATATATGCAATATAACAATTGAATATGTTATTGTAGGCATAAAATTGCGTATGCCTAACCGCATGTAGTTATTCGAAAAGTTTGCACCAAGGATATGTACAGGGTTTTCCAATAAGAGTGATATGATTTCTTTAAACACTAATTGTTAAGGAAATTCAAAATAATTCACGATAAGCATAAAAATTAAATGCAATTTATATCTGCAGATACAGATGTAAAATATGGTACGAATTTCGCTTCGATTGGGGCAGAGCTTTTATGTACTGACTTTTGATAATAAACTTGGAAAAATATAATAACAGAGTTGGTATTCATTTCATGCTTTAGTGCTAGTCTTCCCTGTTCATCATTGCTTCACAGGCAAAAGGGGCATAATTGCAGGGTCTTATATGGATATTTGCGGTCTCCAGATTTCAGAATTCGAGTACTATGAATAATAACTTTATAAAATGATAATACCTATATCATGTCTATGAATTGATTTTGGAAGAGCTTTACTAAGACCCTGAGTGTATAAGAAAATGCATAATATTATCTTTAATTATAGCCGAGTTGTTTCGAAAAACTAGTAAAACTAAAAACTAGTAACTTGGTTATATAGAGCTAAATATTTTGATAATTACATCAAGCTTTCTTTCATCAAAAGATATTGAATAAATATCTTCGGCGTATGAGGAATAACTACTGCATGACATTTTCAAAAAACTGAAATAAAACTTATAGTTGAACAATGTTTGGACATTTTTTTGTTCTAGACTCCTTTAAGTACATTTTTATTTAAAAATATTGCTACTCCACAATACTCTGCTATTTGGAGAATTTATGAACTTGTGGAACATTTGAAATATATAGAACTAGAATAATATTAAGAAGCCGGTTGATGAAATAGACAGGTTGGTTGTCCCTAATTAAGGTGAAATCAGGAATAGAGAAGCGATTTATATACATATTATAAGCGAATAAAAGACTGGAGTTAAATGGCAAAGAAAGTGTGAATACCGTAAAGTTGATACTTAATTATCCAGCAAATATTTATGATATGAGGATTCCCATAAACAGGTTTATATAAGAAAAATGCATTAAACACGGAAATATTCCGGGTTGTTGTCGTTGATTATATATATATATATATATTCGGTTCATTAATGTGCATACAAAGAGTTATATGTCCAGTAAACTCGTTTCACGTTCCCAACTGGCTTCAACGTCTTGAAGTATGCAAGGAAATGCATGAATTTGCATATTTGACACATAAAATTGGTCACAATAAAATCGAAGCAGGAAAAACCACAAAAGTAAATGGTTTTAATTGCATTCGTACACACAGCAAAACAAATAAATATATATTTACGCAAATTAATTGTATTTACACATATACATATTAAATACGTTTATATGTAGCAAACGCAGTGTGCGCCGCATGGCAATAACTGCCGCGTAAGAACTGTGTGTGAGAAAAAAATATTGAGCGCGAACAATTAAAATAATTGCGAAATTGTGGAGAAAGCAAGCGCGAAAAAATCGAAAATTTTATAGAAGAAAAGACCAAAGGATATGTAAATGTATGAGCGCAGGAAGTGGGAAGGCGACGTACAAAAAATCTACGCGCTGATTGTGGGTGATAGCCTCGCTCATGGTCAACATGCGGCTTTCGCAAACTGTTGGTGTTAACTTTAATGTGTGTATGTGCACACATTGTATGTTATGTATGTATGTGCGTGTGCTCACGCGCGTGCCACAAAACAATTTAATTAATTCCAGATTTGAGCGAAATACTCGCGCATAGGCCACTTTACAAATTTACACGCACAAAAGCGCGAATATGTTTATATGTATATAAGCCGACACGTGCACACACATACATATACATGTATGAAGTCGCCACCTATAACATAAGTGTTACGAAAATTATACATATTTTTGCCCAGATTGCCAACAGCAGCGGATTTCGAACGTTAATTCTATTTTATTTACCCACTATATTTTCCATTTTTTTCTACCCTCTTTCTCGTTCATGCCACAACAATTGCAATTCACCATAACGTCAACAATCCACCGAACAATCAATCGACCGCATCCAACGAAAATATTTCATTTCACCAAATTCACAACAGCCGGCTAGTTACGGTAAAAAGAACGGCATGTGGTACGCCTCGCCCGGTAACCAGGGTTGGGGCTCGAAACCGGCCAGTCGTAAGCCATCGATTATGGAGGCTGACTTGGGCACATTATCGACCACATCGGGCTCGATCAAACGCAGCGCCGGACGTGTTATACGCATCATCAATAATTTGGATCATTCAGTGCAGGTGAGTGGATTGCAATGTAATAAATACGTAATAACGATTTATAGGGTGTCACAATAGAGGAAAGTGGCTTTAAACATAAAATTTACTTTTTGGTGAAAAGTTTTTATATACTTTTTATGATAATTAGAACAAATAAGACAAAAAATAAGAACCGACCAAAAGTAAACCCTTTATTTAGAAATTGCAAAACAAAGCACAAATAAAATATTTAAAGCTAACACCACTTATTTAAAAACTGTGATATTAGCCAAAATCTAAATATAAATATGGTTATAGAAGTTTTGCGTCTTTATCTTCATTATTTAGGCTTAAAAATAAAAAGCAAAAACTAAAAAAAAAATTATTAACTCACCCGCCACAATACCCTTTATATAAAGAATTCAATAATACACACAAATATTTGTATTTAAACTTTTATAAATATCTAACCTCATTACCTAAGCATAAAAATAAAATTAGAAAATTTAAAACAAAATAACTCCCCAAAACCAACACCCTTTTTGTGAATCAATATTACTCACAAATATTTCCTCTACACCTGCCCGAGTATGTATAAAACAATGCAGTCACGACGTAAGCTCATTTCGCTATGCCATCACGGCGCCGCGCACAGAAGCGTGCTGCATTTTATGGCAGGAAAAATATTTTCAATAAGCAGAAAAGTCGTCAATGGAAATTGCATACAAAAGCGCATTAAAATGTGCAATTTATTTATGGAAATATTTAATTTTTTATCACCACGAGATATTAAAAATTGAATTTTCAACGAAAACTCTGCGCGCAAGCTATAAAGATAATAAAGGGGTGCTAAAGGAGTTGAAAAAATAGCGATATTAAGCCGCGTTTTTGCAGCTCACTATTTCTTTTCAATGTTTTGGCTTGATTTCATTATTCTCAATCCCATTATTTAATTCGTGTGAAGCATAAAGTTTTCATTATAGCGTTGAGCCAGGGTTTTATAGGTTTCTAGGTAAAAACAATTTGTAATGTTTTTACAAGAATTAATTTGTATTTCTTAGACAGAAAAACTATATAATGATTAAAAGAACTAAGGGATTGAGAAAAAATATAGAACGTAGAAAATAAAATATAGAATATAGAATATAGAACATAGAATATAGAATATAGAATATAGAATATAGAATATAGAATATAGAATATAGAATATAGAATATAGAAT